CTGTCCTGAAAACACAGGCAATGTATACATATACTGGTGTGAAACAGAGAGAAAAGGAGCTGGAAAACCTCTGGGCTTGAGCCTTACCTCCTGCAGGAGGCTCAGTTTCTCCAGTTCCCACTGATGATCCAAGATGAGGCTGTCACTACGGGGCCGCCAGCCTGCCAGGTTCTCCTCACCTCGCACATACGCCACAGATGTGTCAAGCACCCGCCTTCGTCTTCTTTGCATACCTGCAAGTGGAAATGTTTCAAACTTGATTAATAATTTGTTTGTGTTTCATCTGTGCTGTTTGACAAAATAAAATCCCCGAGTGCTTACTTTAATCAGCATTGCTTAGGCCCTATCTGTACAGTTTGTTTAATGAATTGATTTTATGCATACACTAATCATGGTTTGGCTGAATAGGATTTCGGATTTTGTTTACATGGAAACACGTTGTTACCAGTATAGTAGGCACGCTGTGTCCCCACTTCATTCTTAGTGTGCAACCAGAGGAAATCATAGTGACAGAACTGTAGAGCTGGCAACACCACCAACTCTAGTCTGTCCTGCTAACACAGGAGATACGCAGCGAGACTACACCAGAGGAATGAACATCCAACCTCTACTTTAAAATGATTGGTGAAAAAGAGTGTACTGTATTCTAAGGACAATTGTGCATTTTTTGACCCAAGCCATGTGGGTTTTATGATGAATTCATGATACATTGCACACCATTTATGTATTCTGCAACATGAATAAAGCAGGACATTCCGGAGGTTTGCAAGCAATGTTGTGCCAGCCCTGTAGAGAGATATGTTACTGCCAAAGTTTGTTGGTTTATATAATTTATATTCCACCTTTCTCTCTATAGAGAATTCCAAGGCAGTTCACAACAATAAAACAGATTTAAAAATACTACATAAATATCGCATTAAAAATAATTAAACATAGACTAAGATTTTAAAAATCAAGTTTAAAAACAATTTAAAAACATTTAAAAATCTGTACGTTAAAAACCAAGGTTCCTGAGACAACGTACTCCTTAAAAGCTTGTCTGAAGGAGAAGGCCTTTGCCTGATAATGGAAAGACAAGACTGACTTCTCAGGGCAGTGATTCCAAAGCCTGTGAGCAGCCACTTAGAAGGTCCTCTCCCATGTCCACACCAAAGAAGCTTAGGAAGGTGGAAGAACTAAGAGAAGGGCCTCCCCAGAAGATCTTAAAAGCTGAGGAGGCTCACATAGGGTGATACGATCTTTCAAATAGCTTGGACCCAAGCCATATGGGGTTTATGATGAAGGAGTTAAAAAAAAGTCTTTGTTTGCAGAAGGATAGCAACAGTGGGACCAACCTGGCCTTCCATGGGACAGAGTCCCAGAGTCTGGGAGCAACAACTTAGAAGGTCCTCTCCCATGTCCACACCAAAGAAGCTTAGGAAGTGGAAGAACTAAGAGAAGGGCCTCCCCAGAAGATCTTAAAAGCTGAGGAGGCTCACATAGGGTGATACGATCTTTCAAATGGCTTGGACCCAAGCCATATGGAGTTTATGATGAAGGAGTTAAGATGTAAAGAGACAGCCATGCTCAATCAAGTGAAAGCAACTGTGTTACAGCAGCAGTAACTCCAGCTCTTTTAATGCTGGGATTTTTCTTGCTGACCCTAAACTCAATACCCCTTACAGACCTTTCGTAATAGTAAAGCTAATTAGGAACCTTGTGATAAAGCCAAAGGTAAAGATGAACTTCTCACCTAAATTGTAAACCGCCCAGAGAGTGCTTGAAGTGCTATGGGGCAGTATATAAGCAGCACGCTTTGCTTTGCGTTTGCTTTATGTAAAGAGACAGCCATGCTCAATCAAGTGAAAGCAACTGTGTTACAGCAGCAGTAACTCCAGCTCTTTTAATGCTGGAATTTTTCTTGCTGACCCTAAGCTCAATACCCCTTACAGACCTTTCATAATAGTAAAGCTAATTAGGAACCTTGTGGTAAAGCCAAAGGTAAAGATGAACTTCTCACCTGGACTGCCAGCATCAGCCACTCGACAAAGGCTGAGTTCATAAACACCTGTCACACGGTTGCTATAAGGGTGAGAGTTAAAAGTAAGGGCAAGAATAACATGAGCTTAATACCAACCTACAAAAGAGATACATTTTTCTGGAACAGGTCAAAGCTCAGTATGCTGGCCAAAAGCCTATTTGGCATAATTTTCAATGGCAAATTGCCACAAATTAAGTAGCAGATGTAGGCATTTCCTGTCGCATATCAGCTATGTCTCTTGGTGTGTGACAAGAAATGCCAATGACATTACATCAGTAGGTGTAATGAACAGGATTTTAGCCACAGTTTTCCCCACAATAAGCATCTTTTAAAAGCCCATTAACAGGACATGAAGGCAATAGTGCCCTCCCACTTATGTATTCCAACAACTGGTGTTCAGAGGTATATTGCTCTCAGTGCTGGAAGTAATACACAGACACCATGAGTTATTAGTAGCCATAGATTACTCAGTGCAGTTTGTGGCATTTTCAAAGAAGTATTTTATCACTCCTGAAAGACAAAGCACTCCCAGCTGAGCTGAGTTGAACACTGCTTTAGCTGATGTTAATACTATATCCAAAGTTTTGGAAACTAAACAAATCTTACTTAAAATTATGAATTTAACTGGTATGTGTTTGTGAATCCTACTGTGATCTATCTATCTATCTATCTATCTATCTATCTATCTATCTATCTATCTATCTATCTATCTATCTATCTATAGATTACTCAGTGCAGTTTGTGGCATTTTCAAAGAAGTATTTTATCACTCCTGAAAGACAAAGCACTCCCAGCTGAGCTGAGTTGAACACTGCTTTAGCTGATGTTAATACTATATCTAAAGTTTTGGTAACTAAACAAATCTTACTTAAGATTATGAATTTAACTGATATGTGTTTGTGAATCCTACTGTGAACTATCTACCTATCTACCTATCTACCTATCTATCTATCCATCCATCCATCCATCCATCCATCCATCCATCCATCCATCCATCCATCCATCCATCCATCCATCCATCCATCCACACACACTCATTCAGTAATTTAAGTATATACTCATTCAGTAATTTAAGTAGATCGAATATGCAGCATTTGTTTGATTTTGCCCTTCTGCAGAAGCATCAGCAGCCACTTCTTTACCTTTCTGAGGCTCGTAGGCTTCCACTTCCAAAAAGATTGCGAATAGATCGAGAAGCAGGGAGCTTAGCATCTCTGGAGTAGAAGACCATGCAGAAATCTTTGGTGATCACTGCTGGTTGAGTGCAATTCTCCATCTGAAATGGGAGACACCTGCTAGTTTCAAAAGTATGCTTTTGATTGCTAGTACACAGTTGGTTATTTACAGATGGCAATGTGAGTCTGCATAAACAAGCTTATGTTCTGAAGTGAGTTAACAAGTAATGTCATGTGTATATGGCCTAAAGCTAATGAATATTTTCATTATTGCTACCTAGATCTCCTCTCTTAAAATGGCCGACAAGTAGAGGAGTATCTAAAGATTATGTACTGTACTACTATACCAAGCCCTATCTTCTTTTGCGTTGCTTATAGTGGGACTGCCATTGGCTATGGGCCAATTATCTTTCTTGCCTTATCAAAGGAGCAGTGGGGCCCCTTAAGGCATTCCTTTCTCTGCGCTGTGAGAAAAGACTTAGTAACTCAAAAGATCCTGCATGGAAATAAGAGCTGACAGCCTTAACAAAAAGAAGAAGCTTTTCATCAGCTAAATAGTTGCGTGTGGCATAGTGTTGTAAAGAGTTGGCAAGCTAATAATGAACTGCTTTCTTGTTAATCTACCCCAGTTTATATAAAGACCTACTAATAGATACAAAATTGTCTTCTTTTTGTCCTTGGTGTAGCGGATAGAGCATTGTTTTGAATCCCTGCTAAGCCATGAAAGTCAGTGGGTGATCTTCGGCAGATCACTTTGGAATTTGAGATGTTCCTCCTTAAATATGTGGAGGAGTGAGCCTATCATCCCTTATCATGTGGATGGAGCTCCACCCTCCAAACATTAGCTGCCAGTTCAAAAATGCATTTACATACATATGACTGAATTTAAATGATTTAAATAAGTGATCTGTATGTACAATCTGAGATCTTGTGTGAGTTGGAACCCTGAGTAACCAGGGTTCTAAACTTCATATACAGTCATGGCCAAAAATACTGGCACCCTTGCAATTCTGTCAGAAAATGCAACCCTTCTCTCAGAAAATTGTTGCAGTTTCAAATGTTTTGGTATGCGCATGTTCATTTCTTTGATTTGCGTTGGAACAACACAAAAGAACAGAGAAGAAAAATCAAATCTGATACAATCCCACACAGAAACTCAAAAATGCACTGGCCAAAATTATTGGTACCCTTAACGTAATATTTGGTAGCACCCCCTTAGGAAAAAATAACTGAAATCAATCACTTCCTGTAACCATGAATGGGTTTCTTACACCTCTCTACTGGAATTTTGGACCACTCTTCTTTTGCAAACTCCTCCAGGGCCTTCAGATTTGAAGGATGCCTTATCCCAACTGCTGTTTTGAGATCTCTCTACAAGTGTTCTATTTCTATTGGATTCAGATCTGAAGTCATTGCTGGCCGTTTCAGAACTGTCCAGCACTTCGTTTGTAACCATTTCTGAGTGCTTTTTGAAGCGTGTTTCAGGTCATTGTCCTACTGGAAGACCCATGACCTCTGGTGGAGATGCAGCTTTCTGGCACTGGCCACTACGTTGCACCCCAAAATTGTTTGGTAATCATCAGATTTCATTATACCATACACACAGTCAAGGCATTCAGTGCCAGAAGCAGCAAAGCAATCCCAAAACATCTTTGGACCGTCACCACATTTGACTATAGGGACTGTGTTCTTTTCTTTGAATGCCTCATTCCTTTTTCCTCATTCTGGAAACAGTGCTATGATGTCCTTCAGATTTCATTATACCATACACACAGTCAAGGCATTCAGTGCCAGAAGCAGCAAAGCAATCCCAAAACATCTTTGGACCATCACCATGTTTGACTGTAGGGACTGTGTCCTTTTCTTTGAATGCCTCACTCCTTTTTCCTCATTCTGGAAGCAGTGCTATGATGTCCTTTACCAAAAAGCTCTACTTTTGTCTCATCTGTCCACAGTACATTCTCCCAGAAGGATTGTGGTTTTGTCACGTAAGTTTTGGCATACCCCCATCTTGCTTTTTTATGCCTTTGTGTCAGCAGTGGTGTCCTCCTGGGTCTCCTTCCATAGCATCCTCTTTCATTCAGATGATGATGGATAGTGCGAGCTGACACTGTTGTACCCTGTGTCTGCAGATCAGCTCAAATCTGTTTAGAAGTTAATCTGGGTTTTGTATCCACCATGGAAACAACCCTTCATTGTAATGTTTCAGTAATTTTGCTCGTCTGTCCATGTCGAGGGACGTTACCTACAGTGCCATGGGCTGTAAACCTCTTGATGATATTGCGCACAGTGGACGCAGGAACATTAAAATCTCTGGAGATGGACTTGAGATTGTCAATGTTTTTCCACCATTTTTTCTCTCAAATCTACAGACAACTCTTTACACTTCATTCTTTTCTCCATGCTCATTGTCACACTCAATACAAAGGTTGAGTCAACTTTTCTCCATCTTAACTGGTTGCAAGTGTGATTACTATATTGCCCACACCTCTTACTTGTGACCGGTGTGTATACAAATTAAAGGGGCACCACATGCTTGAAAAGCAATTATTCCTTACAATTTACACAGGGCGCCAATAATTTTGCCCAGTGCATTTTTGGGTTTCTGTGTGGGATTGTATCAGATTTGACTTTTCTTATCTTTTTTGTGTTGTTCCAACACAAACCAAAAAAATGAACATGTGAGTACCAAAATATTTGCAACTGCAACAGTTTTCTGAGAAAAGGGTTGCATTTTCTGACAGAATTGCCATGATGCCAGTATTTTTTTTGCCATGACTGTATACTCAGTGCATGTGTAGCAGCATGCATTGGAGCAAAGCTCTGCTATTCATTGCCATTCTGTGCACTTATTGTACAGGTGAATGCATTTGTTTGTTTGTTTGTTTGTTTGTTTGTTTATATACGCCCTTTCTCCTAAAAGAGCCAAGGCAACTAACATTATTGAAAGGAAAGGAATGATGGGATAGATTCCCATCATTATATAACCCCATGTATTGAATGAAATAACCCCAGCCTACAGTATGCACTCACTTAGCAGAGTTAATGTACGGTACCTTTCCCAAATCTGGTACCTTCCAGATGCTGTAGACTGCAGATTCAAAATCACAGGGGCTGACACCCAAAGCATCTGCTGGGCTTTAGGATAGGTGACAATGAAGTATGGATTTATACTGGTGTGCAAGCCCCCATTGTCATCCTAGTACCCTAAAGTCCAGTGTTGGAATATAGGATAGAAACAATGAGCCATAGGGCCATTTAAGAATGGTAGTATAAAGGAAATCAGGACTACATTCCTGTGCAAAACCCAGCTAACACATGGCAAGTTTTTAGGTGTTATGAAGGCACTGGTGGATCTTGCCTCAATATATGCTGAGAGGGTCATGTAGATTTTCTCTCTGTATGGGGTGACACGATTCAGCAGCAGAGAGTTGTGCATGGAGCTATCCCACGCGGCCTCAAATTGGAAAAATGTCCTGCAAAAAAACAGTGGAAAATGCCTGGTTAAAAAACTCACAGCAGGCAACAACGAACAAACTATGCGGAAAGCACTATATCAGCAGCAAAACGCAAACATGCACATACATGGATACCTTTGTGCTGAATGGATATAGCCATGCTGGAGTGCTCTGGCTCAAAAACACCTCCTCAATTAGAAAAGCAATAGCAGAGGCATTTGTTGGAATTCTCACTGAAGGCTTTTGTGCTCTGCATTCTGTTATTTTTGAATGGCTCGCATATGAAGAGATAATAGTTTTGGATGCACATAAACTAAGACAAAGGATGAGAACCAGAAGGGCATAGTAAGACAGACAGCAATAGAAAGGGATTTTGTACAGATCAATGCCATTTTCCAATCTAGGAAGAGCACTAAACAAGGGGCAAACTTCTAGTTGTCTCTAAATATGGTGTGTGTGTTCTGCGCTGTCAGGTCAGAAATGACTTACAGTGACCTAGTAGGGCTTTCAAGGTAAAGGAGTGGTTTTACTAGTTCTACTTCTCCAGTCAGTTTCCATGGCTGTGCAGGGATTTGAACCCTGTTCTCCAAAGTCCTAGCCCATCACTCTTATCTACTACACCACACCAGGAATCCAATAAACATGGCAGAAATGAGGGATTTCACTGTCTCTTTCTGCCTGAACAGTACTAGCCAACAGTTGAAGCTTCCAATCTATTCCCTTGTACTTGTTCTGAGATGTAATTTAAATATGCTGTCTTGAAAAGAAAATAGTTGATACAAAAGATTGTGGATGAATAAGCAAAAGAGAGATTGACAAAAAATTAAGAGGTGGGGACAGAGCCTCTTTTAATCCAGAAATAATCGGTAATTCTCCAATTTTCACTATAGCACTCCAGGGCTATATCTCTTCAGTCAAATGTAGAGTAACAGACAGCCTATCTTCCTTCCATTGAAAGGAGGATCTAGGTTTTTGGCAAGCAAGTTCAGAAAAGAAAAAAAGGGGGTGAGGATGCTCAGTGCTGTAGTTCTGCCTCTGCAGAAGCATTTTGCATTTCATACACGGAATATTGCCTAATTCTATTTGTTTCTCCTAAATATAGTCAAAGTTGTCAATGGTACAGAAAGGTAAGTATGCCTGCCTTCAACCTGTGAAATCTTTGTTATATAAAGGCTCTTGAGAGGGAAGGTCTTCATGGATGTTTTGTACAGTATTTGGTTTCTCCTGCAGTTTATTTTGTATGGAAATTAACTTCTTGTGTGGGCAACATGTATTAAATATATTTATTTTAAAAATGCTGCCCAGAGTAGACCTTTGGTCTAGATGGGCGGGGTCGAAATCTAATAAAATAAATAAGTAAGTAAATCATCGGCAGCCAGCATGGCAGGCACTTAACACAACAAAACATTTAATATCAAAAAGGTAGCAGAATAACTTTTAAACTAAACCCAGGGGAGAAGGTTGTCAATATCTTGGAAGCAATTGGTTTGAGTTTAATCCTTGAAGAAGGGCTGGAGAAATCTGTGGTGGATCAGGCTATCAATGGCTATTAATCATAATGCCTATATCTTATCTCCAGTACCAGGGACAGTATGCCCGCCTTTCAATACAGCTTCTGGAAGCAAAAAAAAAAAAGGAGGGTGTTATTGTCCTGGTCTGCTTGTATGCTTCCCGGAGATATTTCACTGGCCACTATAGGACCAAAAAGCTAGACTAATTAGATCCTTGGTCTGATCCAGCATAGCTCTCATTACATTCTTATGAACAATAGGAGTTGTAATCCAACACATCTGGATAATCTAGTAAGAATGATATAGATGACAATACTTTCTATTCTCTTTTGTACCATGTCTCACTATAATAATGCATCTTTTTCAGAGCCTGTTTGGCTTAGCATTAACATTTTTAACCTATTGGCTCGAATCTTACTGGTGGTCCTGGAAGGTTTGTGTTACTTGCCAGAGTTAATTGTGGCTAATTGATGAGGTGCCAGCGTGCTGTCAGTTGCATAATCAGGTGCATGACCAGGCACATGACCAAGATGCAAATCTGCACCTTATCAATCAGCTGCTATTAACCACCACAAGTTATGCAAATCTTACATGAACACTAGTAGAATACTGGTCAATGAATTAAAGATCATTTCAGAAGCTACATTCAGAAAATGATAAAAAATATGAAAAGTTTTCTAATTTCTATCTGAGCATCCTCATGTCTCAAGAGCATTTCCATATGGACGTTCCACTACCACAGCTCATTAACACTCCTTATCAACATAGTCAGAAGCATCTTAGAAAACAAGAACACCACATCTCCTGTTAGACACGTATGCATGGTATTATAACCAGCTCTCAGAAACAGATGCTGGCTTTTGTTCAAGAGGATCTGACTATTGGTTGATGCAGTTACTACCCATTCTAAGCATCACATTATCACATCAAGAGATTTGGAGCATCTTGCAAAAACCAACACAAAAAGAGCTGAGACTAAGACCACTGAGACACAAGCTGATGGAGGAGAAGTTAACTCCAACCAGGAGGAAGCAAGACTAGGAAAAGGGAGACTTTAAAGTGGAGGAAAGGGGAACGGAAGCACACAAGAGGAGAAAGAGAGGAGAGCAGAAGGGAACAGATCAAGCGTGTGGAAGAAAAGTGAGTTAGAAATACCTAGTGTCATTTCCCAGTGAAATGCTATAAGTGGAAGGCAACCCAGGACAAACACATGTACACACATATACAAAGAAATTAAAATGTCAGAAAGCATTGTTATATAGTGTCCTGTGAAAAGCTGCCCAGAGAGGCAGCTACATGAAGTGCATGGGAAATTGAACACAGTCTAGCCATTGTTAGTTGTGAAAATTAGTGGGTAAATAAAAGAAAGAAAACAAAACAGTTCTCCCATCACTCTCTTGCTATAAGAGCACGGCCACCAAGGGAAATCCAGAAAGTATTTTCACATACTGAACATGTCCATTCATTTATTGGCATGAAGTCTAATAATATCCATCTCCATGTTAGGCTTCACTGCCTTGCATTTTCAATCGGCTGAAAAGTCACAGCTTTGTTTTCAGTGGAATACAATACTCATCAGATATTTGATTCTCAGTGTTGACAAGGGGCTTCAGTGATCTGACCAGGTGATGTTTATACACACAGTAACTTTCTGCCCACTTCCCCCCCAAACTTTCAGATCAAAATGCATCACTGAATACATAATGATAGTTTGGTGAAGGTTGGTGTGTATTAGAAGAGATGTCACACACAGAAATGTCTACTTTTATATCAGAGCTCCAGGATTCTGCACAGTCAAGATCTTCAAAAAGGATACCATTACGTATGCCTCACAAATCCAGAAGTGAGAAACATGGAGTGTTAACTTTTGGGGGCCCATGCAGTTATATTAATCTTTCCATTGTGCGGTCGGTATTTTTAATAAAAATCTTTAATATTCCTCCATCCCCAGCTCCTACCCCCTATTCTGTCACCATTCATCCAAATATCAGCTTCAGCATAACTTTGTACCTTACACAGCATAACTTTGTACCTTTCATAGATAACAGAATGAGACTGATGTATAGCCTTTAATTATTGGGTTCTACAATAACTTAAATGCTATCCAGTTGTTTCCAATCTATAACAACCCTTTTAAGATTTTTTTAGATATTTAAGATGTTCAAGGAGTAGTTTACCATTTCTCCCCTCAGTGAGTTTCCATGGCCAAGCAGGGACTTCAACCTAGGTTGCCTTAGCTATAATAAATAATGGTGGACTTTTTCTTATACGGCTGGGGTCTCCAAACTACAACCTGCAGGCCACATCCAGCCCACCTTGCCTTTTTATCCAGACCAGTAGGTGGGCGGGCAGGCATGACTGCAGGCAGGCAGGAGTGTGTGCCTTCCTTCAGCAAAAATGTGGAGCAGATATGATGTGGCTCTCCTAATGAAAAATTTGGACACCCCTGTTCTACATAACAAAAATGTGTGTAGTTAATTCAATCAATTATCTGAGCAGCTAGTGATACAGAAATATGTGATTAAGAAATTCCCTAAGGAGCAGTTACTACAATGCAGCTATTAGTTAATACATAATTATGATAATCATTCGGCAGGAGGCAAAATAAAGCTTTTCATTGTGGGTGACTGAGCACAGCATTCAGCTATCTAGGGCAGTACATTGCAAAAATGCACAACTGAAGAAGGACTCGGTAGTTGGCCAGTGACATGCCAGCTTTTCAAGAAGTTGTTCACTTGCTATGGTGGATTTAACAACATTCATTGCATAGCAAGCAGTGTGGTTGAGCCTATGTATCCAGTTCTTCAGATACCTTCGTTCCATAAAATATTTCATTTTGCTAGACAAAAGGCCTACAAGGTCAATCCACTTATTGTTAATTCAACCAAGAGGCTTCAGCTAATACAACATGCAGTCCACATATCAATATATGAGAGAATACATCCCTCTTGAGTTTAGGGGGACTTAATTTCCTAGAAGGTGTGTGAATCTGGCAGTAATTAGTTAGTTTTTTTCCTAAAAGAGGCCATAATGCATCCAACTTTCAAATTTACCGTACAAAGTTGTTACGAGTCACTTGTTGACTTTGTGACTAAACATTTTATTTACTTTGTTTTAAGAGGCATTTTGGTAGCAATTTCCCCAAGTTTATGCCCTTTTCTGATCAAACCTATAGTTTAAAAACAATTAAAAGTAAGGAGCAGCATGAATCAAACAAGTTGCTTTAAAAACATTTCCAAGGATGTAGTCTTACTAGCCCATTGCAGGAAAAACTATAGTACTGTAACAAGAGTCTCCTAGTACCTTTAAGATTAATAAGTATCATTTGGCACACACTTTCTCTGACATAGCCACTTCTGGCTATAACTATGAAATACCACAGAAATATGATAAAAGTACTTTGAAAAAGATCAGCTCATCTAATCCAGATTCTAGTTATGTGTGATCCACTAGTCCATCTGATGTTAGAAATTGTGAAATGAGTTACAGGTCTCAGTTCCTCTCTGACAGCTACTTTTCTGAATCCACATTTTAAAACATCAGATGGCCCATCAACATCAGATACAGAAAGTGGGACTGGCACCTGATTTTAAAAACAAGCATACACGGCTGGGGTACTAAGCTTTCCCCTAGGTGTTGTTCACCTATCTGCAATCTGTCACAAAAAGTTTCAACCAGCCACCTGCCAGATTTGCTTCCAGGTCCAGAGCCTGGCAGAGAGAGCTCTACAGCTTTCAGCTATCATTCCTCTTTCTTTTATTTTAGAACTTCTGCCCAAGTTTTAGGTCTAGTTTAACTCTAAGGTTCTGCCTAAATATTACTGTTATGAACTCAATTCAGGTTGTTAATTTCTTTCTGGCTGCAATTCGTAGAAGGTTACTTGTAGACATCTGACTATTGTATGTGTTCCTTGTTATCTTTTTTTCTTTGTTTTTCTCTCTTTTGTACTGATTGGCTTCGATTTCTGGATGGGTCGGGTCATATGACTGCAATAAACATTATTACTATTACTATTACTATTACTATTACTATTATTATTATTATTATTATTATTATTATTATTATTATTATTGCTATGAAGTGTTGCAACAGCATACCATTTTTGGACTATCATTTGCCAAAAACAAACTAACAAATGGCACAGAGATCACATTACATCTCACACCAAACATGGATCTCAGCAACATATTATTTCATGAAAGTACCTTATATACAGCCTAAAATGGTTCTTAATTTTGGGAGACTTTTTCCAACTTGATTTGTTCTCAGCTATATAAACAAATCTGGGAAGTCAAGGAAATCTGTTGTCCCCTCTCTTTGAAAGTCCTAATGCCTAACTAGATGAGATAATACAGTTTTCTGACTAGATATCCATTCTCTTTAAATATCAGAAAAAAACAGCAATGGCAATGGAGTGGAATCGGAAACAGGTCTGTAGCGCTGAAGCATAGGCCACTAACCCTTCCTGCCTTTAGCACCATTTTCTCACATAGGTGGCTAGGCAATATGGAAGCTATTCCACCATGAGAAGGGGAGAGTGGGAGAATAATCTGATTGCCTCAGTGATGCAACTGAACAAATCCTAGCCAGTTGTTGCACCCGAAAGTTCAGCTTTCCTCCTTAACTATAGTTCTCAAGTTATATGAAAAATTAAAATAAAAAATCTAGCAATTGTCTCATTTGGAAGTGATTCTAATGGTTAACTGTTCTCACTGTTCGATTCTAATGGCTAACTGTTCTCACTGTTCAAAGCCTGCAATCTATTAGATACTTGGTTTTGTGGAACTTCCTTTGATTTGATTAGATCATGACTACTAGAGATGTGTAGTCTGAGCAGGTCCACTTTGGGGTGAGGCAGCTCCTACTACAACCACAAACTGCCCTTGACTGTGGTCATGCTCTGCTACTAAGTTCAAAGAAGCTGTTATCAGAAAAAGGCTCCCTCCTATAAAGTCTATTACAAACCAAGCCCTTCCATGTTCATTTTTGACATAACTGGCTTTTTTAAAAAAAACTATACTTCCTCAGACCACTGCAGATCACATTCAGCCCATCCTGTCATGCAGTTTGCATTAGCCCACAGCTTTCCAAACCGCCTTTGTGCCAGTGCTGGGAGCAGGTGATGAGGTTTTAGCATGGACAAGAAAAAGTGGCCAGCATGTTTTGGGCGGATAGCAGAAGAAATTTCAACAGCAGCAAAACTGAAGAGAAAAAAAAACCCAGCCAAATAAAATAAAATAGAAGAAGGAAAAGAAAAACAACAACGTTTATGAAAGAGAATACTTGATAGGGAAAAATAAAAGAGAAAATTGCTCTTTAAAAGGAAAGAAATCAAATAGAAAAGCCCAAGAAACACAACGGAAGCCCAATGGTGCAGAAGAGAAAGAGAAGAAAGCTAGTGTATTTGGGTAGGTAGTGGGTAGTTCAGTCTGTAGCATTGATGACTGCAATGCTGACATGGGTAGGGGTTGAAGGTGTACCAGGAAGGAAGTAAAAGAAAATAAACAGGGAGGGGAACAAATAATACCTAGGCATATCCGAATCAAGAAACTGCCTGCAAAAACACAAACAATCACATGGTTAGTGTGGGTCCAAATGGGGCGGGAGGGGGGGAAAACAGCAGCAGCAGCAGTGGCAGCAGTTTCATAGCACAGCTTTTCAAAAGCCTAAGCTGGCAAGCAGCTCCTCTCTGGCCACCGAGATGCCACACAAAGCTGCAGCAGAAAGCTGCTGAACTTCCATATCACTCAGGTAAGGAAGGGCACAACCATGTCAGTGACAGAGTGAGCAGCCCAACACTGAAAACCAGTGTGGTGCTGGGGATGGAGGGAATAAATTGCTCTGGATTGAGGGAAATTATATTAAAATCTTTGCCTAGTCAATGACATTCATTAAATAAGCATATCACTATTTTTAAAAGCAAGCTTAACTTGCTTCGCGGGGATCTTGTGAAGACAAAATAAGCCAAGGCCACACATGCCACTCCAACTAGGGGGAAGATTTCAATGACATGTCATATTGTTTTCCTGCAACCTATGTTTGCATTTATGGGTGCATTTGAACATGTTTATGAGTAGTATGGTGAGAAAAGCCAGATTACTCATAAACATGTTTAAACTTGCTTATCGGTTCAAATGTAGGTTGGAAAAAAAATGTGGAATGTCAAAGAAATCCTCTCCATACCGAAGCATTGTGCTCAGACTAAGACGTCAGCCTGGCTTATTTTAACTCTGGTGCTTGGAACAGACCAACAGACTTTAGAAGAGCTTAGTCAATGAGACCACTCTGTCCCATCTGAGACATCGTTTACTACTGGGTAATGGCCATGTGCTACTGGTACAATTTCATGGGAGCCTTCACAGTAAGGAATGCTTGAGCGGCCGTTCTTGCTTGTACAAGATTAAACCAATCTGCATTTCCCTTGGGCTGAAGATCTGATGAGATGGTTGCTGAATTTTGGGGGGAAATAGCAATAGCGAAGCTTGAGGCCAAAGCAGCAGGTTTGCAGGGTAGGTTTTGCACATTCCCACATGTAAGCTCTTCTCATTCCAGAAACATCAAGATCTTAAATAAGCTTCTAAAGCCCATGCAAACTGGAAGAATGGGGAATCAGAAAACTTCTATGGTCTTCCTCAGTTGTTCTAGCCGATCTTCCCCTTCCCCTTCTTCTCCTCCTGCAGTCAAATCTGACTATCCTATCTGACAATGGAGAAGTGACAGCCAACACCTCAGTTTGTCATCTATGCAGGAAGCTATGCATTGACATGAAGAGGAAAAAAACAAATATGAACCTCGTTGCACATCCTGTTCCTACTGCTCTCTCATATCTTCAGCAGATGGCTTAATGCGCGTGGAAAGATTCTCTCTCTCTCTCTCTCTCTCTCTCTCTCTCTCTTTTTAACTATTCTTGGTGTTTTGTGGTTTAAAATGCAGGTTTAATTTTTATTTATTTATTTAAATAATAAGCAAATAAACCTGTGCTGAACCAACCTTGAAATACTGTGCTTGCTAGCTTAAAAAGAACTGAGAAGTTTTCTTGAGAACACAGCAGCAAGACCACATTTGTAAGTAGAAAAGACTCTTCAACCCACACCATCAACCCTGCAAATACAGGCAATAGCCCCACCATCTAGAATGAGGCAGGCTGCAGTTCACCACGTTCTAGAGGGTACCAGGTTGTGAAAGGAAGTTTCATCCAGTAATTGGGACTGGAGTGAGCCTTGTTTAATAGGATTGTGTGCCCAGAAGGGTTTGCTTTTCACCTCACAGGGCAAGAGCCACCAGTCTATTATATGGGTACTTGCAAATATTAGCTTTATTGAATTATCACAGAGATTTTTCAGATGAATGGCAAGTCAGAACACCTGCAAACAAAAGTCTTGCTGTGCATATCCCTGTTAGCAAACATTTTAGCAAGGTTAGTATAAGAGAAACAGCAGATGTTACAAAGAACTAGGAACATTAGCTTCAAACAACGGTGATTGCAGCAGATACCTTCTCTATGAAGTTGTTCTTGTTTTATTTCTAGGCTTGCTACAGCTGATGTGGACTGAGTGGGCATATGTGATTATATAGATCACACATGTCCCACTGAAATCCACATCAGGGGCCTTTGGCTGATGTCGGTAAATGCAGTGGCACTGCTATACAGCAACTGTCTGGCTGTGTTTTCATGCAGACTTTCTGTCTGTCTGTGGAAAAAAAAGTCTAACTGCTTGCTAATCTGCAACAGAAAAATCTCCTTTGGACTCAATTCTAGTAACAGCCACTGCTCTATCATGACTCACCTTAGGCAATTAATCTTCCAGTGTTCCTTCATCAGCCTCTGCTTTTTGCCCAATACATACTAACCCTGTGTCTCATCCACAAACTCATTGCTTCCCATCTCAGCATTGTTTCCCAGTTTACTATATGACCTTGGCAACACGTCAGATTGGCTAGAGATCTGGATAAATGACGTTTGTTAGATTTCTGAATGGAAATGGATACTGAAGGAAACCCTGGGGGTGATCCAGTAATAGGAAAAAAGAGAATGCTAGCCTGGATTGGAAGCCATGTTGTCTCTCTGCTGCTCTCCTAACAAAGTGGCATTATTATCCCATCCGTGATATGAATTTCCTTCCTTTGTATTATCAATTACAATGTCGCCATGCATCACCGTCTCCTGGATTCACCTTCCCAGTGATTACATCTTTCATGCATGGCCATTCAAGCCCCAAGGAGTCTAGAAAGATCTCCAAGCAGCTGGTGCAAATTCTTAGCAGTCCTGTTCTGTCTTCACCCCTCTCCACGCTCCGAGAGTAGCAGCCTTTACTGCACAAAAAGGAGCAACGGTTGGCTTCTTAGACACCCCCTGCAGCGACAACTCGATTAGTGGGAGGGTAGGTCAGGGGCTGTTCAGTCAGTCATCTTGCAGTGCTAAACCTGGGAGCTATGATATTTCTTATCATGCATGGCAAGCCATCTCTGCAAAGCAGATCAGTTTGTCAGATACTGTTATGCTGCTGCAGTGGAACATGATGTTGGGCCAACTCAGAGAGCTAAGCAAGGTTACCAGCATGTCTTAGGAGGTCTTATATTATATGACAGACCAATGTTGGAACAGTTATTGCAATGCAACAGTGTGATTATTGTTACAGTACAAGCAGAGACATAGCACCCCAAAGCATGGGCTACTGGTAGTTTGGGGTGGGAAGATTCTCACCTTGAAGTGGCTGATGATTGCTTTTTGTGATCTGAGCAGCAGGGAACGCCTCTCCTGCTGCTCCAATCAGAAGCCACCAGTGGCTCAAAGACAAATCTTATAATCCCAGTGCATATGATGACGCCATGGCTGAGCCAAGGCTTGAGCAATGAGGCAGGCCTTTGCCCCAGTTCCCCAGATGGCATGCAAGACCATGAGGTGGCTGTCTTGCGAGAGCAGCCTTGGAGGAGGGGCGAACGGCAATGGCATATAAGGCCCTCGTGACTTCCTCCTTGTTTGTCGGCATGCCACCCGCCCTCCCTAGATTCTAGTGTGAGATTAGCTGATCACCTTTGGGGCCGGATAGGATTTTTTGACCTGTCTCCCGATTGACCCGTGGAGGCGGGGATTTTTTGCCTATCCAAACTGGCCTCTTTAAGGGTGGAAAAAGTTGGTCACCCTGGCGGGTAGTGCAGTTTAAACAGGTATTGGGACAGGGAAGTTTAATGGTAATGGCAGGTAATTATAGCTCAGCTGAACTCCCAGCACTGTGGATCGAGTGATTACAGTCCTTGGGGGGAAAGATGCGCTGGGGACACACCCGGACCCTCAGTCGGCACAGAGAAAGTGGCACAGGTCCAGGGTGGTCAAATTTGGGCCGGCAGTTATCCCGCTGTCTGTAAGAAGGGGATAACTGAGATCAGGGTTTTAGCGCATTGGCTGTTTGAAGGGTCATTTTGGAACCCAAGAAGGAAGCCTGAATCTGCACTACAGCAGGAGCCCCCTTTGCCAAAGGATTGGCAGCAATGATGAAATCTGAATAAACTTGAATAAAGTGTCACCCGTGTTTAACCCTCATGCTTGGTCTCATGTGATTATTTTGGGGTAAGGGGACAATGGGTGGAGGCCATCCCTCAGTGGTCAGGCACTTCCTTTCCATGCAGAAGGTTCTGGGTTCAACCTTTGACATTTCTAATTAAAAGACTCAGGAAGTAGATGGTTCAGGAGGCCTAAGTCTCAGATCCTGGAAAGGTGCTGCAATTGAGATCTGATAGTACTGGGCTAGTTGGACAAATAGTCTGACATGAAATAAATTGGTCTAAAAATGATTAAGAGCTCCTGGATATTCTGTGGCAAGGTGGTGGATATTGAAGGCCAAGCTTTGGCAAACGTAAGGAAACTTAGGTTTCTGACTCCAGAATGTCAGCAACCAAATCCCTACTCAGCAGAGGAAAAGATTTTGGGTGTTGCTGGCTTTCTCTCTGCTGCTTGCGCACTTTCATCTAGATATCTGGGTAGCTGCATCATGCATTGGCTGTGCTGCAGTAAAGGAGTGGGACTTTAGGAGAAATACGTCTCTCAACACATATGCACATGGACTCTCCGAGACATACAGGGAGACCATGTTTGCCTCACATTTGAAGAGCAGAGCATGCTGGGAAAATGTGACCCACCGATCATCCTGGGAAGGACGGATATATCCTGATGACAGAATGTTCAGAGAGAGGATGTTGGGGTCAATGAGAGAGTCATCTCCTTCCGGGGTGTTCCGAATCCGACCTGCAAATGGAAGAGAACATAGAACACTTATTTTGCCTTTGCCTTCAGGAAATCAAAACAGATCTGTATCTTAGTCTTTAAACAAAAAAAGGTGCCCCCACCCTTTGCTCTTGAAGGATGCATGCAGGGTTGGATTGGATCTGTGGCATAGTGATAGATTTGGAAATGCATGTACCTACCCTGACAGTCCCCATAGCTAGCCCCCTTCTCCCTGGGAATTTCAAAAATGCAGGCAGTGCATTTATGAACAAGCGAGGAACAGCTCACATATATATAAGGGAGGAACATTAATGATTTATTAACAGCAATGACTCTTAAGTTTTTCTGTTAAGACTAAATTATCCCCAGATACTTTGAATTTAGGATTTAAATGGGCAAGATAGGGGGAATGAAGGGATGACTCTCTCCATGTGCTTCCCTCCTCATTTTACGTAGCCTGCCAAACAGTTATTTGTTAGGCTGGGTGGAACATCATTATGAGGGCAAGGGAAGCATATGGAAATAATCAATCTTGTTTATCACCTTCCAGTGGTAATCACATTCCATGCCAGAGGTTTGAATTGGGCGGTCAACTGGGCATTCAGCACTGGTAGGCATAGGCATGAGACACATTGAAGGTCTTCAAGGACTGTTTGTGGTTCATAGTGAATGGATTTCCCATATGTGCTCCAAACGGAAGCAATGCTCAAAGGCAGGATGCGGCCCTCAAATTCATCATCTTCTGCCAACTCGAGACTACAGAGATGGGCATTTTGCTGAGATTTTGCCACTATATAGCTTCCCGTGTAACAAAAAATATGTAGCCAGCATTGTGCATCACTATAATTTGATCACTTCATAGAGAAAATCCCTTTGACACAGACTAAACCCTGAGGTTTTATAGTTACAGCAGCCATTCACTATAGAGGAGAGCCAGTTCAGGCTAGCTTTCATTGTACTGTACTGCACATTGCAGGCTTTGTCTACCTCAACTGGCAATGAACATGATGCTCCTACAACTAGTGCCAATAAAAATGTTCTGTGGCCTGCATCACCCAGGGCCTTCTCCTCCTGTTTTTGACTTTTGTTATGAATCATCTGTATCCAGCAGTCTCTCTGAAGTTGATAATTTAAGAGTGTGGAACTGCTCAGTTTAGACCACTGCTTGGCTTCAATATCAGTTAAGAGACAGTAGAAGGAGCAGAGATAAACTATGCTTACCCACAACCAACTCCCGCACTTCCTTCCAGCGGATGTGGCTACCTGTCTCATGCACCAAGGTGACCGTGATCCTCCTCTGGATACCCTACCAGACATCATACCCAAAGAGAAAGGAGGTAGTGATTAAAAGGTTAGATCTATGGATAGAACTGAGGAAACTGGTCTTTGAGGAAGGAGGGATCAATGAAGAGGGGGAAACTACAGCCAAAAGACAGGGAAAGAAACGGAACCCATGACAGACTGCCTCTTTCAGATGGCTTCTTAAAAGGGCTGAACTGCAGTACAATCAACATTGCATACATGACCTGAGCAATTATTTTGCCAGCACAGGAGGAAAAATGTAGTTGGCCTGCCAACTGGATCCTTTTGAAAGGGTTATCTTCAAAGAGCTCAGCAGAATCCCCCTCCTTTTCAGCATGAAAAGTGATGTCATGAGGAGTGGCTTGTCTTCTTATGGGAATGTCCTTGCTATCCTCCATCCCCCATGGCAAGTGTGGGGGTAAATATCAAACCTCCCAGAACGTGATCAGATCATTACTGAGGAGATGGCAGAGACAACCAGTATCAAAGGGCAGAAAATACCTGGTGCAGTAGGAATGTTCCATGGCAGGGCATTCCTCCTCGGTGATCCACAACAGCAGGGATGTAGCTAGGAAGGACAATGTCCGTGAGAGACAAGATACAAAATACCCACAATGAACTCCATTCTTTGCAGCCGCCACCTATGCTGCTAACACTGAACCTTCTGAATCTTATGTCCCACCAATCAAAGAACCTGAATCTCATCACAATACCAACCAACCAACCAACCAACCAACCCAACTTTTATAAAAAGGACAGTTACACATTTTCAAAAATTCTGTTATAACATTTGTCATTTACTCTGGCTGAAATCCTGCTTCAGTCAGTGCAGACAATATTGAATGGAAAAACAGTCTGACTCAGTACAGTTTTACCTGTTCATCGACAGTACAGTGGTGCCCTGCTTGACAACGTTAATCCGTTCCATTAAAATTGCTGTTAAGCGATATCGTCGTCAAGTGAAAGAAAAAACCCATTGAAATGCATTGAAAACCAGTTCAATGCATTCCAATGGGCGAAATACCTCATCGTCCAGCGAAGATCCTCCATAAGGGAAGCCATTTTCGATCGCTGTCTTCCGGAAATAGGTCCGGAAAACAGTGGGCGGCCATTTTGAAAACCCGACAACCTGCTGTTTTTGATCGTCGGGAAGCAAAAAATCGGTTCCCGAAGCAGAGAACCGATCGTTGTGAAGCGGATTTTCCCCACTGAAACATCATTTTGCAATCACAATTCAGTTCAGCTTTCAGTAAGATGGCATCTGTCCTAAAGGGTTCAGAATGTCCTCAGAAGGCTCTCCTCAAGCAATGTGTGCTAAGGTACAGTGAAAACACTTTGGCCACCCAAATGCCATAAAACTTGGGCTCTTAGAAAAGAAATCCCAACCCATCAACCCTAAAGCAAAAGATGGCCACTTACTCGCCGTTGGCCTCCAGTTCACAGATCTCAAAGAAGACCATCAGATCATACTTGCACTGGCAGGGGCCAGCACTGGGCCTGGTCATGGCACTCAGTTTTGTTGCAGGCACTACAAAGAAGAGAAACTCTGATTATAGGCCAAAGAAAATGGGCAAACACACCTGATTACCTCAGATTTTAATTCCATTTCACTGCATCACACAGGAAAGAACAGGAAGACCAGATTCATCAGCAGTACTTTTTTTGGGTCCAGTTAGCAAATACATTGGAAACATAGCATCTAACAAAAAGATATCTCTCTTTTGCTTCAGCATAAACATGCAGGGGGCAATTTAGAATGCATCCACCTTGCACAACTGGGGTTAAAAATTCTCTCTTAGTCAGGTTTAGTTAAGTAAATCCACTTCTTAAAACAGGAAAGGAATCTAATGATACCAATAAATTACTAGTAAGATTTCTTTCTTCTTTTTTTTCTAGGTCTCACACTATTAGGGTATTTAAAAACAGTCTGGAAAGGAAGGCATATCTATCTCCCATCTGGCCCAATCCAGGTGGTGTCTCCACAGATCAACAACCAGGTGGAAAAAAATATTTTGTTACATGCTATACATTTAATGTAGTGCATGGTTAAATTTTAAAAGATGTGAAGAATCAGTGTTAAGATCTAGTAATATCTGTGGACTCAGATGCAAATAAGGTTTTGAATAAACAGCAAGATGGATAGTGCTATATGGGAATATACACAACCACATACAACTGCTATCTTTTTAGTAGACCATATTTCTTTACTGACAGTTACATTAGCAGCAATGTTGTCTTAATGATAAACAACAAAAACTGGCCACAGACAGTTTGCACGAAAGACGCAAGACACACAAAGAAGGGGGAAATTATTAATATTTCTCATAGTGTTATTAATGCCTGCAAAGAAGGGTCATTTCTTGTATTTAATCCGTGACTGTATGAATGAATATTAATATGGTAGCAGGACATTACTCCTGGAATGGATATTTTTAAAATGTGTGTCTCAGAAATAATTAATTAGATAGTATATTGTTAACATCTTCAGCAACAAATTTAAAATATATTATTGTTAAAAAGGCAAACTCCAATATTTTACCATTTTTTAATACTTTAACTTGTTTCAGTTCATTTTCAAGAAATTTTCAATAATATTTTGAAGTGTAATAATGTTACACATTGATTAGCACTTCCAGCTGACAAGATACATTTCTTAATCACTTAAAATCAATCAATTAGATTCCCCAGAACATTTCTAAGTCTGGAAAACGATTGTGGCCAACTGACTTGCAATTGCTGAGAGCAATTTTCCATGCCTAAATTTTAAGGCACTCTAAGGAGATGTTTTAGAGTTTTATACTCTAGAAATTAATCCCCAGATTTCTCAAGTAGGATGCCCCTTCCTCCTCTGCAAAATCTGTTTATTGTATCTCTTTAGTCACACTGATGGTCAACAGAAGACGAGAGGAGAAGAATAGAAAAGAGCAGAAGGAGGTAGCAGGAAAACTCGGAGAGATCATCAGACACAGCAAAGTAGAATGTCCCCTGGACTCAGGGATCAGAGCCATTGACTGTATTTAGGATTTATTCAAGCTTTTACTCAAACTGAATTTGGTGACAGCAAGCAAAGTAATCTAGTTTTAGATGATGTCCCATTTCTGTCCCCTGAGTCCTGCAATTGCCAGGAACTTTCCAAGGCAAGAACCCACAGCTTTTATTCAAGGACCAACCAGGTTTTTGAACCTTTCTCACAACACAGTTCACAAACGATGAAGATGCTGCAGGTTTGGGTTCCTCCCTGTCTCTTATGAAGAAGGAGGAGGCTGTGCTGGCTGCCGACAACATACGGCCAGAGAATGTTTCTAAGAGTTGGCCAGCAAGCACACTGGGTACCAGGCCCTTAACCTTTTGAAGAGCTTCCTTGTGTTCTTCAAATGTGACACAGAGAGACAAAAAGACTACAAGACAAAATTAAACAGTTCTAGATGACCAAAGGATACATGATCAATATTAATAATAACTGCATGCCATAAAGTCAGTTCTAACTTATGGAGACCCTTCCAGGGTGTTTTAGGAGTGCTCAAAGGTGGTTCACCATTTCATTCTTCTGAGCTTGCCCAAAGCCTACTTAGGCTAGCTCTTCTCCTGAAGATAATAATAAGTGAATAAATAAATAACCTCTGACTCTACAGTTAGATAGAACTGCTGGGATAGCTCAGTGGTTTAGGTCTCTGGCTGCGGAATCAGAAGTTGGGAGTTCAATTCCCCACTGTGCCTCCTTGATAGGGGCTCGACGTGATGATCTACAGGGTCCCTTCAAGCACTGCAGTGCTATGATGATGATGATGATGACACCTATCTCACTGAGCTATACAGCCACCTACATGAAAGATACAAGCAGTTTATCTGGTGGCAACAAACACTGGCCTCCTCCTATAGTCTTTAAATGTTAAATACTAGCCAAATATACAACATGGTGTGCATTCAAAAGAAAATGGTCAAATAGGCTCTTAGCATATCAGGTGACGATCCAAGGTGTTGCAGCGGAAAGTGCAGTGGATAGACACAAATTAAGTTCTCTACTCCAGTAACTGCTTTTATGAACTTGCGCAGGCTGTCTGCTAACTCGCTTTATCACTGACTAATAGACTTTGACAAGAATGTCTCACTTGCTTCATGAGAGACAGCTTTTACAACTAAGGATTCTTTGAGTGAGGCTGTGGCTTCTATTGTGCAGCTGTGCTGTCTCATTCTTGGAATTTTACAGAAGAGGGAAATCCAGCGATGACATCACCTTCTGCTTGTAACCCTCCTACGCTTTCCCACCACTTATTATTTCATTTTTCTTACCATAAAAAATTCATTAAGAAGGGAAAAACAGACTAGCTACAAAATGCCTTGCAGGTAGCAGCACAAGGAGCCTTCCATCTACAAGCACCCTAAAGCATAAAGGTTCCTTCCTCCCCAGTTAGCCTTGTTAGCCATTTGACATGCAGAAGGAGAAACAACTGATATCAATGCCTGCCTACCCCAACAGTGGAAGACTGAGTACTGGCAGTGCCACTTACATGATTATAAAAAGGAAGAGCCTGGAGGGATGGCATAGCATGAGAACATGGGGAAAGCACATGCTCTCATGTTATGCCATACGTCCAGGCTCTTCCTTTTTCATAAGAGAGAGGGAGGAAGCACATGCACTTGCCTCTCTATATGGCAGCTGCATGTGCTTCCTTCTTTCCCCAGACTGTTTCAATCCAGCATCCCTTGAGTCGCACTGATGGCCCAGAGGCTGGGAGTTCAGTTTCCCACTGTGTCTCCTAAACAGGGGCAGGACTTGATCCACTACATACGTCCAGGCTCTTCCTTTTTCATAAGAGAGAGGGAGGAAGCACATGCACTTGCCTCTCTATATGGCAGCTGCATGTGCTTCCTTCTTTCCCCAGACTGTTTCAATCCAGCATCCCTTGAGTCGCACTGATGGCCCAGAGGCTGGGAGTTCAGTTTCCCACTGTGTCTCCTAAACAGGGGCAGGACTTGATCCACTAGGACCTTTCACTGTGTCTCCTAAACAGGGGCAGGACTTGGTCCACGGGGACCTTTCCAGATCTGCAGTTCTAAGATAAAGGTGATGATGATGATGATGTAGTCCTTCAGATGTCATTGGACTGTCTATCCCAGCATCACTCACCCTTGAGCCTACATGTGAGAAGCACTGTCCTACTCTTCATGCTGTGACTTTTGATGAATGCAGTACGTAAGGGGTGGGGTTGCATCCCCCGTCTTAAGTATGTTCATAGTGCATTGTACCACAATGTTTGAATAGGGCTAATTTTCTTACCTGCTGTGTAGATATATTGGATAGGCTAACTGATGCTCTTATAGGAAGGAGGAGGTTTTTTTTCTGGGCTTTCTTTTGGTCTCCCCCACCGCATGGCCTGGGGGGGGGTCTAGGGGGTGAGGATTTCTGCTTTAAATGAGTGTGTCCCCGGATTTGAAATTCTCAAATTCTCTGATTCTTTCTCTGGCCCTAAATATGCATACACCTGGGAGGCAGGAAAGTTTTAAGGGTCGGATCATACTTCCGCACTATTAAAGAGCAGGCCGGGTAGGTGGGGCTCGTCAGCCATGGAAGGCAGCCCATCTAGGAGAAGGAAAACTCCGATTTCAAACCTCCACTGCCTTGTGGCTATATCAACTGATGGAAAAGGCTTCAGGAGGCAAAATCCGGAGCTGGAGTCCCGAAGGCAGTTTGTGTCATTCTGTCAACTCCTGCGATGTTGCTGGAACCAGTTGTATTGGCTCTTGCCTTTCCATTGGACCATTTCAGCAACGTGGAGAGGGGGGATTTGCTGCTTGGGTTACAGCCTATCCTCCATATTACTTTACACAGGCTTCATGCTCTGGAGAGGACACTCCTCGATTCAGAGCATGTTACCATAGCCTCTTGAGACTGAAGGATGCCTATGCTATTCAATCCAGCTGGTCAGCTGAAGGGCTACAATCTGCAGAACTGCCCTGCCTCTTTTCCTCTCACTTCTACATCTTAGTTTTGTCCTGCCCTTGTGTTTTCTCCATTGTAATTCCAAGGTAGGGATTGTTTTGTTGTTATTGCTCTCATGCCCTTGGGGCGCTCTTGCAAGGGAAGAGAGGGATAAAAATGCTTTAAATATAAGACAACAAGAGAAACAAAATAGGTAATATACAGCATGCCCATTCATGATGTTATGAGCACCATTCAGCAAGTTCTCCCGAGACATCATTCTAGCCGCTGACCTCATGTCAAATTAAGGGGTGGAACTAAGCTTGCAGAACCACTGCAATTTTATATTGTGACCTGATGCTAGGAAATCAATAATACACTGCCAGAACAGGTATCATAATATCAGATGAAAAAGCCAGGAATTTGTTACAGAAACGTGAGATGTGTTTTAACTTACTTGTTTTTATACTACATTTCAAGATTTATTTGTAATCTGTTTTTTTATTATTGTTAGCCATCTTGAACTATGTTTTTGGCATGGTTTATGGACTAGGATACGTGCATACAAGAGTCATGAAAAGACTGAAATGTGCCTCAAATGCAACACAATAAGGCAATAACATGAATAAATCAAAGACATAAAAATAGTAGAGGACATCAAATTAACTAACATTGAAACTTTATAATGCTGGAACAAATATGTTACACGACACCCATAAAACTCAATTTTTGTCTGGACAACAGGCACTTTTTACACAGGCTCTTCTTAGTTCATGGTAGCTAGCTATAATACTCCTCTATTAATAGTTTATCCTGCTTATTTTATATTATATATCTATTCCAGTTGTGATTTTATAATATAATGGCTGAATCCCATTGCTTAGTATATTAAGTCACAAGTAGAGTAAGCCTATTGAATCAATGGAACTTATGGAGGAGTTAACTACCAAATCCTTTCTGATTCAACAGGACCTACTCTAGTTGTGATTTTACTATACTAAGCAATAGGATTTCAGTCACTGTGTGCAAACTGTAATTCAGGGGTGAGCAATTCATTTCTATAGGGGCCCACATGAAAAAATCTGAACTATGTTCGGGGCCCGAACCAACTTTAATTAAAAATAAAGTGAAACAGTGATGTTATGATTGTTTTTATTTTAAACTTGTTAATCTTCACAAATACTAAAGAGGTTTTTTGTGGTATATTTTAAAAAAAAGCAACTGATCAACTTTAGACAAAAAGCTATAAATTGTTTTGATGTTCAGTGAGAGAAATCCAGTCTGTCTTGGGCTTGAACAAGTGCTTGAACACCGGGCTGGAGCGATGACCAGCGGGCCGGACATGAGCGGCTCACAGGCCGTATGTGGCCCTTGGGCCGCACTTTGCCCAGGTCTGCTGTAATTTCATCTCCTCCCCAAACAAATAGAAACTAGTTTTGTGGAAACTAGCATCTTCTCCTCAACTTCTGCTCTCCTACATTTCCACTAATACTTACGCAAAATGAAAAGCAATCTTTCTCCTACCTGGCTTAGATAATGGCATGACCCGTGGGAAATGACGCCGGGATGGTCTTAAGGGGCTGTAGAGACAAGGAACAATTTTAGAAAGAGGGCATGTTGAGAATAAACAGCAGCCGGTACCATTATATATTCATTATAAGTATATTTATCATATATATTATATATTCATAATGATTGTCTTATGAAATTTCTATTTTTAAGAGTTAATCAAACACAACATATATTTAATTGTATTTAGTGATTCCTATTGTTGCATCATTCTGTTACTGGTTTTTGTCTGATCTGTTTGTCATAATAAAATAATTGAAACATAATGATATGATTATCTTATAAAATTTCTATTTTTAAGAGTTAATCAAACACAACATATATTTTATTGTATTTAGTAATTCCTATTGTTGCATCGTTCTGTTACTGGTTTTTGTCTGATCTGTTTGTCATAATAAAATAATTGAAAGAACAGATAATCTGTATAGGCCAAATAAATCGGTTTCTTCAAGCAATTGTAGCAAGCAGGGATAGAACTTCTGGAAAAATGAACTCTCAGACCCTTAATTCAGTGGGAACCCTGCCCTGTGGTGCAGTAGTTAAAACTGCAGTACTGTAGCCAAGCCTCTGCTCATGACGTGTGTTTGATCCTGATGGGCTTAGGTAGCTGGTTCAGGGTTGACTGAGCCTTCCATCCTTCCAAGATCAGTAAAATGAGTACTCAACCAGAAAGCGCTCTAAGCACTATGGGGTGGTATATAAGCCAAATAAATAAATAAACACACACATACACACATACACACACAGAGCTGAATGATGGAACTGTGAGCCACCAAAACAGCAGGAGGTAGAGCAGCTCTCCTACCTACATAAGGTTCCAATACCACCTCTTTATGTGCTAGAGAGAGAGAGAGAGAGAGAGAGCTGAATGATGGAACTGTGAGCCATGAAAACAGCAGGAGGTACAGGAGCTCTCTTACTTCCATAAGGTTCCAATACCGCCTCTTTACGTGCACTGAAAAGCACCCCGGGCACATTTGTGAGTCATAATAATTCCCTGATACTCAGAATGGTGCACAGCAGAATATGTTCCAATGGAGGGTGCCTCCACACACACTCTGGCTGCTCTGTCTCCTACCATTTTAATAGCTCCTAGTCCAATAATTCATCCTCAAGGTTTCTGCCAAATTATGAGGCTGGGAGTTTGTTTTCCCCAAAAGCTCCATCCTTAGTAACAAAAGATCATACTTAGTCAAAGAGTGGGACTTAAACATGGGCCTATGGGATATGAAGAAGTTGCTTCACCCGCCCACCAATTTTTTGGCATTGCCAATTATCAGGAAGATGACTCTTACCTGAGGACATCCTTGCAGAGAGGGGGGAAAGGATGCTGCTGATAGTGTCCAAATACCTCAAAGACAATTGGTTGGCTTTTAATATATTCAATGAAAGATTTGGTGACTTCCACAGCAATCTGAGACACAGGACAGAAAGGAAGAAGAACATTTATCTGACACAGGACACGTAACTTATATGCATGGTTTTTAATGGGACTGTTACATTCTTCCCTCTCTAGGTGAGATAATTAATTATTTGATTGTTGAAATCATTGTGGATTCCTGATGTTGGTTGTTTCTGTTGTCAGTTTAAATCTTAGCTGTTCACTCAGTTACTCCTGGTTTTTAACAGTTTTAATGCATTTTATTGTTTTTATTGTTTTGAGCTATTTGTTTTATATTATACACTTTGAGATTTTTTAAAAATATAAAGCATCATAAAAATGCTATAAATGAAAATTTCAAAATGTTAATAAATCACACTGATAAAATAAGCAATTTCTCTTAGCAGTCAAGGCTACTTTCGTGCCAAACAAACTAAATTCTCCCCTTCCATGTATCCTACCCCAAGCCAATGGGCTTCATGTGCCCCCCCAGGTCACTAGGGAGTGGGGGGACACATTTTCAGTTGAAAAAACCCCACAATTTCACGAGAAACAAAATTAGGATGGAGTTGTAGAAGGAGCTTTCCAAGGTCCACAGCAGGCGGCCTGTTACCTCCAGATCTCTAGAAGCTCGTTATCATGACGGTATGCTGTAAAGATGGAACCCTGAATCTAGAACAATAATCTCTTTATTATTTGGGGAGCTGCATGTATCATTGTATGAATTTTTTTTAAAAAATGTTGCCATTGGTACCATCTTTATAGCAATCACAAACCTGCCCTGTATCACGAGATCTGTCTATCCTGGATGCAGGTTACGCATACATTGTGAAAAGGAAGCAGCACTGGAAGTTATACTTACATTTTGAACGTGATAGAAGCCAAGAGGTGGGCCTCGTCCAGTGTTCTTCAAGGGCTCTGTAGAGAAGGCTTCATCGTGGCGATGGATAAAGCTGTGAACAAACCCATTATTGATATTTGAATTGATAATAATATATTAAGTATATTTGTCTCATGAGGATCTATTTACATATTATGGATCATATTATTTAATAATGTGTGTATATATGCATATATGCTGGTTGGATAGCTGAGTGAATTCGTTATCTTGCTGAGGAGCCAGAGACTGGAAATTTGATTCCTCACTGTGCCTCCAGAATAAGAGGCAGCCTGTGTAGCTATGGGCCAGTGGCACAGCCCCAGGGCACCCCAGATGAAAGAACCAGTAAACCACTTCCGAGTACTTCTAGGAAACCCTAGAAAGGTTTGACTTGGTGGCATGTAATTATTATATATGCACACAAAAATGTAATTTGGATTTGCTAGTCTACTGGGGTTTCTCTAGCTTTCACCTGTCAGTCTGGATCTCACATCTGGAAAGGGCAGAACAGCTAGCAGACTGTAAAGGAAGGAGTGGTTACATCTTCTCAGTTTATTTCAAGCACATAAATGGCAAAAGGCATTAGGAAATCTTACTTAAACTGGCAGAAGATGTCTGCGTATTCTGCGGAGATACTGGAGGCCTGAAGAACAGTCACTCTGAAAGTGAAGATGCTGCCCAACTTCAAATGCTCCAGGGCTGTCTCCAGAGGGCCATCCACTGCAGACTTCTCTGAAGTGTCCAGGAGAAGATCTTCTGGGGTGGCTGCACAAAGAGGGGAGAACCTCTTTAAGCAACACCTTGTCACTGGTATAAAGACCCTAAGTTGCCTATCCCTTTCAAATTGTACATGACACACACAATAATGAAAGAAACAATTCCATTTTCCAGCCAGGCAGTTGAGCTTTCTAGGATTCTTCCTACTTCAGTTATATATTTTTCTTCCAACTAAAACTCAACATTTTTGAGTTAGTTTTGAGTTAGTTTTGAGAAAACTCCTTAATGAGCTATCTGGGATCTTCCCCCCTTCCTTAGACATTTCTTTAAATTTTTTCTACTTTTGTATGCTGATATTTTCTTCTCCACTCCCATCCCCCAATGTTTCAGTTTAGCCCTATTTATTTTGGCATTCCCTACAAAAGCTTGTTTTTAGAGGGAATGATGTTAGGAAAAAAAAACAGTGAACTAAATGTAGGGGTAAACATACAAGTGCTATTTCTTTAGCAACACATGACTTGTAGACAGAAAGATAAGTATAAAAGCCTTTATCTTTTCAGTCAACAGCCCTTACCTTCAACAACGCCGTGCAAATATGAAGGAACCAGCAAAATAACTGTTTCTGTGCTCTATATGGGGAGATCTGATAAGAGCTTATCTTTTCTTTTTCACCCCATGCTTAAAATCCACCCCTCACCCTTTCTGATTTAAAAAAGGCCCTCCACCTGCACAAGTGTTGTTGTTGACTTCATCTGCTGATGGTCCTATGTCAGTTATTTGCCCCTGTCCCTCTACAATGCGCAGCTCTTCCTGTGAAGTTCCAGAGCGGGACATTCCTACTACAGGACAGGATTCAGACTGGAACTACAAGGCAACAAAGGTAAAAGAAAGTTAAAACAAAGACATGAATGGCACTCTTGATTTTCTCTCTCGCAGCCTCTGTATCTCTTTTTTAACCACTAGTGTCACATTTAAGCAGTTTATCCAAGATGAAGAGAGCTTTGAGTTAATAAAGTTTCTGATGCAGAGTTTTACTGCTAAATAGTATGAAGAAATGACACATCCGTGACCACCCCGGTCCCCCAAAACCATACAACAAAAGACTTCAGTGTTACTAGTGTTGCTTCCATTTCACAGAAAACAAACCAGCCTCTTCTGCTTTTTGTGTGTTAGTACTTGTAAGCAGGTGTACTTCGAGCCACATACAAACATCAGGATGCATGCCAAACAAAAGACCAGGGGACTCTGAAAGAGAGACACCAGCTTTTGTTGCAATTATCAGGGTCACTCTAAACTAGGAGTCGGTAACTTCTGGTCTGCCCTGCATCGCCAAATTCTCCTTAAATTTTCTTTGTATTCAGAAAGGCCTCTTGCATTTTCTAGGAAATACAGGTGAATTTCCCCCATGTTTCCTGTACCAGAAGAGGCCTTTTTTTTCATAACCAGAATTGAAGGGTGTTCTTGGGTTTAAGGCATCTAGGGAGGGGAAAATATGACAAAATTGTCCCAAGTAACTCCTAGAGACCCAAAATTGCACTTGGGACACTTTTCTCCCAAGTACCCAGAAAGGCTGTTTCTGAGTACAGTGGTGCCTTGCTTAACTAGGAAATCGCTGTACAATTAGGTTTTTGTGATCGCTTTTGCGATCGTAAAACGATGGTTTAAATGGTTTTTTTTCGTTTAACGATGATCGGTTCCCTGCTTTGGGAACCGATTTTCGCTTTACGACGATCAGCAAACAGCTGATCGCCAGGTTTCAAAATGGCCACCGGCTGAAGAAAATGCCCCCCCCCCCGCTGTTTTCTAGGATGGATTCCTCGGTTTACAGGCACCGAAAATGGCCACCGTATGGAGGATTTCGCTGGGCGAGCAAGTATTCAACCCACTGGAATGCACTGAACAGTTTTCAATACGTTTCAATGGGGTTTTTTATTTCGTTTAACGATGTTTTCACTCTACAGCGATTTCGCTGGAACGAATTAACATTGTCAAGCGAGGCCCCACTGTACTCAGAAAGTGTGCTCAGAAAGGGGCTTTCTGAGTAAAAAAAAGAGGAGGTTGCCAGCATAGGCTGCTAGGGAGTAACATTTGGGCCCCTGAAGGGGTGCATGCAATTTATGATCCATATTTTGCTGCTTGCCTTGTCTAAGTGGTCTGTCTGCTCTCCACTCTTACTTTGTCACACTCCAGTGCTCTCCAAATTTGCATAACAAACTGAGTAATTAATAACTAATTAAATGTGGCTCAATCTTCAGCCAACTCTCGAGGGTGATGTTCAAACAGTGTTAGATTTTCACAGCATACCTTCTCAAAGTGCTGATCATCAAAAGAAATTTTGGCTGTTCCCGACTGACGCACTCCTGAACCATAATCTGGTGCTTCTTCATCCGCTAGAAATAGGAATGCAGCAAAAGGTCACAGCATGGAGGGAAATCTTGTACCTGTCAATATACTTATACTTGTCTCCCATATGAGTCTGCTTGGGGTGTTAAGATCATTAGGAGAGGCTTTTGTCACGGTCCCATCATCTTCACAGGGTAGAGTTTTCTCTGTTGTTCCTCCCAGACTTTGGAACTCCTTCCCACTAGAGGTGAGTCTGGCTCCATCTTTGCTGTTCTTTGCAAGCAGGCAACGACCTTTCTCTTCAAGCAAACATTCCCTCAGTAACTGGCTATCTAAGAGGACTTTTTAAATGGATTGTTGTGCCTTACTGGTGGGAATGTGTTTTTGTTTACTGCTTCTTAGAATGGTATTTGTTTGATCCTTTTCAATATTTGTACACTCCTTTTTGTTAGTTCTAAATATTGTCTTTTACTGGTGCAAGCCACCTTGGGTCCTTTTTAAGGAGAAAAGTGGGGCAAAAACAGACTGAGACCCTTCTCTTTTCATGTATAGTGATACCTACAGGAAATGCACTGGACTAGGCAAATTCAGGCAACCCTTGCAAAACTGGGGCATTCAGACTGGCATGCATCAAAGATTATTTTGCTTCTTTGCATGGTGACCATCTATCCAGAGAGACTACATGAAAAGGAAATGTAAGACGTAGGACAGGTTGGTTACTGAAATTTGCCTTGAGTCATCCAAGTAATTGGGAATCATGTGCTAGGTGGGTTTTAGGCAAGGCAAATACCGCTGCTAAAATTTAATGTGATCCAAATTGTGAGGAGTCAGAAATCATAAATTAATCCCATGATCTGCCATCATGGTTGCTCAGCCCTCCCCATTTGGACTCATATAAAAGTCGATGGTACTTGAAGGAAATGAGTACTGTTTATGTGAGATTTCACTTTGTTGTTTGTTTGAAAAGTTGTTTGGTTTAACTTCCATTGAAGAAATGTATGCATTCGCTCTGTTCTAGCAGGGAGTTGGACACTTTCCCATCATATGTTGAAACTATGAAGATGAAGTAAACATTTAATTTAAAATATTTTAAAGAGAAATCTAAAATCCCCAATCTATACATCTACACAGAGAGGATCCAGTGAAATACACTGGTAAAGCCCAGAAAACTATTTGCATACAGAAGAGTTATTTAAACACAGTGTTACTTCTGATGCTGTTCCAAAGAAATAAATTATCATATACAAATTCAGTAAAAGCTGTACAAGCAATTTTATGCTGGTGTGGGCTTTGATAAAAGGTAGCACAGATAAACACCAGTAATCCTTGAATCCAAATTGTATGCCTGAATCAGCTTGCTTACAGCTTAGAACCCGTAAACAATAACAGACTGCAGAACTCAGCCCAACTCACTTCATGCTTGGATCAGACCCCTGAAGATCGAGGGTAAGCCATTTACAAATTGACAAACAGTGGATTGAAGTAGGCTTGGAGTATAGATGCAATGAAGTGAGCACTGGATAGTTGCTTTTAGAAGTTTAGAATGGCATCATGTGGAGCCACATGGAAACCATGGGAAGTACCTATCTTGAATAGAGGCACAAACAGGGTGGGCTTAGTTCATACAGAGCAAGTACAATGGAAATGGAGCTTCCATATTAGTATACTTGAATAGTCTATATCAAAAGGAAGAATTGAGTCTACTTTGTATGCTCTGGTTGTTATCACAATAGCTAGCTACTAGGTAGCTGAGAATTCAAGGGGAGGGCAGTTTATGTTGCTTACTGTCCAGACTGTCTCTATCACATAGAAGATGTTCATCTGGATGGTGAACGTTACTACATTCTCAATGCCACATGAAATCCTAACCACACAGAAGCAGTTTTTGCAGGGAACTACGTTGGCTAACTGTATTATGCTTGGAATGGCCCACTGAGTACTGAAGTAGGAACACCATCTGTATTCTAGAGTGCTAACTAAAATGTTAACATATGGGAGAGAGAGCAGTCAACAGTCCAAGCCTCATCAGAAGAGGTTCCGACGATGGAAGAGCTGCTAAAGAAGCTATGGGACATGGCAGAGTTGGACACTCTATCAGAAGCACTTACGGGGACAGCCAAGAGACTATGTAAAACAAAGCTGGTGACTAATATATTCTTGGGCCCAGAAGAAGACAGGAGTTTAGGGTGAAATCTATGATATATGTATGAATTAATTAGTATATACTGTAAACGGATATAGGGAGAATAGAGGGGCTAACGAGGCTGGAATCTTTGACTCCAAAGGGGGGTGGGGGTACTTCAAATAGAGGGGGTAGTTAGGTTTTTCTTTCCTATATATGTAGCATGGTTATTTTTTTCTTTTTTTGTTGTTTCTCCGCTTTTGTATGTTAGAGATTATTAATTAATAAAAATCTAATTTAAAAAAAACAGTCCAAGCCTCATCCTAGCCCCAGTAGCTTCCCAGTTGGCTCTACTGGTGAAAATTACTATGTATCTCAGATGTTTTCTCCCATAAAAGCTGAAAACAAGGAGAGGCCACATATGTGTGCTCATCATCAGCAAAGGTTAAAACTGTTTGTGAACAAGCCATCACAGGACATGTATCATAGACCAAACTTATATATGACCCCGAACAAAATGCTTTTCAATGGCATTACTTCACACCTTTGGCTGTGACACCCTGAGCGGTCACTTACTAAATGATATGTATGAAACATCTAGGATGAATAGCAGCAAATACTTTGGCAAATACCCTCCCACTCCATCCCCACCAAGGCAGGTAGTGCCCTAACACCACCAGATTATTTTGGCACCTGAGGCAGAAAAATCTTATACTGCTTCTCCTCTTTACTGGCAGCAAAACACAATTGTAATAAATCAAACACCCAACAGTTTGCTGCCTTTTTGTGACGACCAAAATTTGCTTCTTTAGATATTCACATCACCTTTGCCTAATGGTAGGGTTGTCCTTGAGTCTGCCCTTATGATGCACAATCATTGTTCATTAGGATATACTGTAGAGGCAAACAGCTATATTGCTCCTTCCTTGATAAAAAATGAGTTGTTTCCCAATGGGAATGCCTATATATGAGTATCTAGAACCTAACCCCTTCACCAATTCCACCACCTCTTACCCGAGATGGCCTGAACAGCCACACGTAGGAATCCTTTAACTTCTCCCTTCTCACTGACAATGGCAACACGGTGGACCAGAGGCACAGGATACAGCAAGTTGCTGAGATAGACAAAGGCTCTGAAAGAAAAGGCAACATAGGAGAGTGGTCACGGCATCTCATGTATGAGCGTCTCCAAACATACTCCATAGCTGATGGCAGCTGGGACCACAGTTCACCGCTCACATCACAACATGGCGCTGCAAAGCAAAACTAAACAAAGGCAGCCATGGCCAGCCGGACAGAGAGGGGGAATTCAGCGTGCTTAGAACAGAGTTCCTGTACTGAGCAGTGAAGCGAAAGCGTAAAGAGTTAGTGAGCACTAGCACAGCACACCTCTCGTTCTGTCATCTCCCATGGCTGAAGCAAGGGGAAGGGGGCTGTGCTGGTGCGAGAAGGAAATTAGAGAAAGGACCTGTGGCAGGAGAGACTAGATGACTAGTACCCTGGGTGCTGTGATTCGTCCAAGGTCCTGCTGCTGAGTAATGGCAGGGCAAAAGGGACAGAAAAGAGGGGAAAGCAAAGGTGGGAGTGATTGTGGCCAGGAAACAAAAACAAAAGGATTTAGGAAAGAAGAGCAGGGGGGTTAGAAGCAAAGGACAGCAAGTAGAGAAAGACACCTCTCTAAATGAAATATTCTTCAGAATTTGTGGGGGGAAATTGAGCTGAACTTCAAGCCTCCTTCAAAGGAGCTCTTATGCCATCAAACTATCCTCATGGAAGGAAAACCATGAAGAGTATCATGTGCTCCTGTCAACTTCATGCTACTCAAATAAATGGAGGGCCTGGGTGGTTCTGAAGCTACTTAGATTTCTTCGTGAGGAGGAGAAGAGATTGAAAAAACTAGTATTGTTCTCATGGGCATTTGGAGTGCCATAGTATTATTGTAGAAGTTTTAAAAGGCAAACCAGGCCAGAGGTTAGATGGTAGATCGATTGCTTCAAACAAGAACAGAACAGCAGCAGGAAACTCTTGAACCACCCAGATACAAGAGAGTCCAGTGCCACTGCGACTAGTGATTGAACAATATAATGACATAATTCCATGATCCACACAGTGGCTGGAATTCTGTTGCTTAATGAAGCAAGTTGCTCTAGAACAGGCCCATTGAACCAATGGGGATTGGCAAGTCAATCCTTCCATAAGTTCTACTGATAGTTAAAGCAAGTTACAATTAGAATAGGTCCCATTTGAATCAATGAAATATACAAATGAGTTGTCTCAGCAGATCCTCACTGATTCTGCAGGCCTACTTTAATGCAACATTACACTGAGCAACAGGATATAAGCGAATTCTTGATATCCTTTACTTGGTTATATGGGTCCAGGAGCAGATATTTAACAACTCTGTTTTTAACTTGGTTCCATTTGTTTGTTTGTTTAATGTTGTATAATGTCTGTAGTGGTATAACTTGGTTCAGCAGACACTGAGTAGAATTTTGTTATATGTTGCCAAATTGCTTTTGATTTATAGTGATCTTTTGAATTATTGACCTACAAAATATACTATCATTGTAACTTGGTTCAGCAGACACTGAGTAGAATGTTGTTATATGCTGCCAAATTGCTTTTGATTTATTGTGATCTTTTGAATTTATTGACCTACAAAATATACTATGATTGACAACCCTGCTCACCTCTTGCAAACTCAAGATTATTGCTTCCTTTATGGACTCAATCTATCTCATATTCAGTTTCTGTTTTCCTGCTGCGTTCATCTGCTCCCAGCATTACTGCCTGTTTTGTGCGTCTTGTCTTTCATGACTTGTCCAAAGTATAAATCCTAAGTTTATTCATTTTTGCTTTTAGATAGAGTTTAGGCTTAATTTCATTTAGCATCCACTTATTTGTCTTTCTGGTCCAGGATATCTATGAAGCTCTCCTCCAGCATCACAATTCAAATAAACTGATTTTTTTTTCTTATCAGTTTTCTTCACTGTCCGGCAATAAGGAATAACATGCTATGGATTATATTGGCCTGGGTCCCCAGTGACACATCCTTGTTATTAAGGACATTTGCTAGTTCATAACTGCTCTTCCAAGTCCCAGTCTTCTTCTGCCTCTTGCTTGCAATCTCCAGTTGGACTGATGATTGGACCAAGGGACACAAAATTTCTAACTATTTCCATTTCTGTATCATCAACATTAAAGTTAGGTAGTCACGATTTTTTGTCTTCTTAATACGGATCCAGAGCTTGGCAGTGCCTCCTGGGAAAAGAGCCGGCCTGTGTATCCATGGGCAAGCTGCAGAGTCCTAAGGCACTGACAAAAGAAGGGAATGGTAGCCCATTTCTGAGTACTCACTATCTAGAAAACCCTGGTAAGGTTTGCCATAAATTGGAACTGACCTGATAGCACACATATACTGTAGTATTATAATGCTCGGCTACAATCCTGCTTTTGGACTCTTTTTAAAAACCCTCTTTAGTAATCATTTCAAGTCATTGCTACTTTATGTCAATAATAAAATAAAGTCACAGAGGCAGTCATCAAGCTCCAGGTGAGCTTCTTCTTCTGTCCATCTGTATATCAAAGTAGAATGAGTCATTACAGTTCCATGAAAGAGAATTTTATTTATTTATTTATTGTATTTATACCCCACCTATCTAGTCATTTCGACCACTCTAGGCGGCTATAGAACCATAATAAAATGCTACAAGGGACAAGTCACAGAAGTCTGATTCTGTGCAATGACTTTCACAAAATTAAGAGGTAAGGAGAAATGTCTGTGTAGATTTTAAACTGAAACTGTGCTGCTTATATACTGCTCCATAGTGCTTAAAGTGCTCTCTGGGCAGTGTACAATTGAATTACGCAGGCTACATATTGCTTCCCACTTCAGGGTACTCAATTTATCGACCCTGGAAGGATGGAAGGCTGAATCAACCCTGAACCAGCTACCTGATCCCAGGATTAAACCCAGGTTGTGAGCAAACTTTTGGCTGAAGATGCAATTTGACCACTGTGCCAGAAGGCTCATGTGGAACACGGAGAAGGTAACAGAACACATGTGGCTTTGTTTAAATTAACCTCCACACGAGTATTTAGCTTCTTTCTCATTACCTGCACAGTCCATGAATACTGTCACTATTCTTGGTTTCAATAACTAGCAAGGTGAAATCTGCTTATTATGTCTGGGGAGCTCTGTCTAGCCCATTCCCACCAGCTGGAAACATTTTTATTCTGGCAGACACTGGTCCTGATGGAATGTTACTACAGTATTCTCTGTTTTTAGGTTGAGCACAAGAGTTATCTGGCAGCTGCCCTGTTTTATTAAATGTTTTGCTCCTTGCATTTTGTGATTTGTTGTTGTTGTAAGAGATCCTGAGTGCCACAGGTATAGTGGAAGGACTGGATATAGATAATGTCTAATAAATACATTAGAAAAAAAGTTATGGTCCTATGACAAATATGTCCTACAGAAATACAATATGGCGTTAAGGAAGGCAAAAAGGCCATCAGCAATAAACGGAAACATCAGTCTGAATTGTTTTCAGCTCTTTTCAGGAACTGGCATTGGGGGAGGGAGTGGCAAAACAAAAAAGCTTACAATTGCTGTGGCCAGCTTTTTAGCTTCACTATTTTAAAGTCCTGTCTGTAGTCATTTTTATTTATTTATTTATTTAAAGAAAAGCAGCAGCACCAACTTGCCCACTGTGAATTGCCAAAGTACTCTTGTGGCTTTTCTGTCCTTGTTGTTGTTTAGTCATTAAGTTGTGTCCAACTCTTTGTGACCCCATGGACCAGAGCATGCCAGGCCCTCCTGTTTTCCACTGCCTCCCGGAGTTTGGTCAAATTCATGTTGGTAGCTTTGATGACACTGTCCATCCATCTTGTCCTCTGTCATCCCCTTCACCTCTTGCCCTCACACTTTCCCAACATCAGGGTCTTTTCCAGGGAGTCTTCTCTTCTCATGAGATGGCCACAGTATTGGAGCCTCAGCTTCAGGATCTGTCCTTCCAGTGAGCACTCAGGGTTGATTTCCTTTAGAATGGATAGATTTGTTCTCTTTGCAGTCCAGGGGACTCTCAAGAGTCTCCTCCAGCACCACAATTCAAAAGCATCAATTCTTCGGTGGTCAGCCTTCTTTATGGCCCAGCTCTCACTTCCATTCATCACTACAGGAAAAACCATAGCTTTGACTATGCAGACCTTTGTTGACAAGGTGATGTCTCTGCTTTTTAAGACCATTGTATTGACCTTCAAAAGGATGGAAGGCTAACTAAACCCTGAGTCAGCTACCTGAGTTCATCACAATCAAACTCAGGCCCTGATCAGAGTCTTGACTACAGTACTGTAATTTAAGCACAAAGCTCTTGACACTCTGTTTTAAACACTCGATACATTCAAGATTTCAAACCTTGACCTCCACAGGCATCCATGACATGGAGGGAAATGTGGCCCTCCAGTTGCAGTTGACCTACATCTCCCATGTATCCAAGCCACTACAGCCAATGGTGAGGGATTTAGAAAGTTTGCAATCCCTTAATATCGCCACAAGATGTGGTGGCACTGCGGGTTAAACCGCAGAAGCCTCTGTGCTGCAAGGTCAGAAGACCAAGCAGTCGTAAGATTGAATCCATGCAACGGAGTGAGCTCTCATCACTTGTCCTAGCTCCTGCCAACCTGGCAGTTCAAAAGCATGTAAATGCAAGTAGATAAATAGGTACCACCACCACGGCGGAAAGGTAACAGCGTTCCGTGTCTAGTCATGCTGGCCACGTGACCACGGAAACTATCTATGGACAAATGCTGGCTCTACGGCTTGGAAACGAGGATGAGCACCATGCCCTAGAGTTGGACACGGCTGGACTAAATGTCAAGGGGAACCTTTATCTTACCTAATATCTCAAAGTGCACATATTCCCTACCCATGGAATATCAGTGATGGTCATACCACAGCAATAAAATATTAATCATTCTTCTAGCCCAATGAATGGAGCAGCAGAACATGTATATGTTGTGGTTCATGTGCGATTAATACAGAACATGCAAACATATCAGCAGTTATTCCTCTGAAGACATGGTGTATCTGTACCAATGGACAGGAAATGGCATTTTTTAGTATAAGAAAAATAGT